TATATTAAATTAATTTAAATATACTTAATTATAACTCAAAAATATTAATTAAAAATTTTTGATTACAAATAATTTTTTTCTTTTACATTTCATTAAACAATAAAAGATTAATTTATACCAAAGTAAAACAGAAAAACTTAATTATTTAATTTACTAAAAAATAAAAATAAAATAAAACATCTCAAAGAAAATTAAATAAATTATAAAATAAGTACTAATGATAAGTGAGAAGTAATAAATGCTTAAAAAATATTAATTTTAAGAACTAAAAAAAATAAATGATATTTTAAAAGTTTAATAAAAAAAATTGCCAAACCACTTATTTTTATAAAAACTTTTTATGGGTTCCGAATCCTTATCTCTTTCGTAATTCTTATTATAGTATTCGCTGGATTGAAAGTTTTGAATTTGTAAAGTATTAAAGTTTTCATAATCCCTAAAGAGACAAAAATCAAGAAATGCCTCGAAAATTACTAAATTTTAAATTATGTATACAAATTTGCGCCCCAATTTTTATTATAGAAAGTAGATTCCAATAAAGATTGCAAATTAGGATCTGAACTCCCTGCTCTTCTATTCTTGAATAAAAAAAAATTATTAGTATTATATTTTTAAATCTAGTAAAAATGTAAGTTTACTTCAATCTTAAGATCGTCTTCTAAACTATGAGAATCTTGAGTTTCAATAAAGGCCATCAGAAAGTTATAATTTATTTAACGCTAATATAATTTCTTTATAGAAAAATTATAATTATTTACCGACATTTCCGGTAGAACAGGTATTGGCTTTTTTAGTATTAAAAATTATAAATTTAAGTTAATAGTTTATACATAAACTTCCAAAAGAATTCAGAAATCTAGATTTAAACTGTCTCCATACGTTAAAGAGCTTGAAGTAATAGTTTTTTAATACGATTTGTAAAATAAAGCATAAACAAATTCTATTCAAAATAAAACTTCGAAGACGCTAATAACTTTATTTTATTTTCTTTTGGTACTATTAGTCTATAAATCTTAAAGGAAAAATATTAGTTAGACTATTTAATAACAAAATGACCACTAAGTTCAAGTTCATAACTTTCAAAATTTATAATTATTTTAGTATTAAGAGAGCAGATATACTAAAATCTATAGTTTAGTAACACATTTTCAACAATTACCCTATATACTTCAACGATCAAATCAATGAAAATCCTTGTTGAAGTTATAGTTTCTAATAAATTTTTTTTAAAAAAGTTGTCCTTACAGTTATCTAAGTTGCCGTTGAGTTGCTGTTCCTTCTTATGTTTAGAATTTACACAAGCAACAGTTTTAAATTGGTTTAAATCTTGAATTACAGTTTAAACTTCAGAGTAAGTATCTTCTACTATATTGATATTAAAACTTTTCATGGCAACCTTAAATTCGTTTACTCCATAATCGAGCTTTTCCTCTCCCATTCTAATTGCGTATAGCTACCAATTAAGACACTGGCTTTAGCAAAAAGCTTTTACTAGCGGGCCTGAAGAAGTGCCATGCCTATGCAAAACCCCAGCGATATTTAAAAATTTTGTCGGGCCTTGTTTATTTTTATTAAAAAGTTTAATATTGTTTTAGTTGTATAAAAAAAGTTTTAAGAGCTGTACTGGGAATTATGGGAAAATCAAGAAAACAGCAAGTACAACTTTTTTGAATAATTAAAATTGTCAAGTAAAATTTAAAACTATTATAAATAAAATAATAATACACCCCGTTAACGTGTTGCATTAAGGAATCGATAGAGATAATAAATAAAGATTAATTTTTTTTCATAATAAAAAATAAATTTGCCGAGAAGATAGTTTAAATACAGTTCTGTGATGCTTTGAGATTATAAAAGATGGAAGAGTAAATAGTACACGGGTTAAAAAAGAGCTATTAACCCGTACCTGGTGAGGGTGGGGCTCTTTGTGCTAAAGAAGATTAAAGTTGTTCTCTAATTTCTTCAGTGCACCACGATAGTCGTATTTACCGGGTATTTGAAAACCAGCAAATCATTGAGATTTACAATGTAACCAAAGGAGGCGTGAACGCTTTGGACGAAAAATGCACCGTTTACTCCACTAGTCGACGAACTAGCCGATGTCCTCAAGCTACTGTCTTTACTCCTCTAAACATTAGTCTCGTCCTTGCTTACGTATTATTTTATAGTTTTTCTGACAATCGCGCGCAGAAGAACTGATTTATTAAAAGTCTTGTTAAACAACTTGTAGAGCCTCAACTGAACTAAAGGCTGCTGAACAGTCGCCTACTTCGTGAATTGCGGTGAAGATCTATAAAACCTATAACCAGCCATCGTTTACAACTTATGGCAAGCCAACCTGGATGTGCCAATCCAAGAACTAAAGACAGGAAGACAAGATTTATTTGTGTAAATTGAAGCACTCCAATCAGCGGCAGCGGTGTACTGTTAGTCACTGTGTGGATTGTACTCAACTTGATATATGCCAAATAGTTATTGCTTAAATATACTATGTTGTTTTATAGTTAATAAACTTCAATAGAGGCGTTATTACTTGCAAAGCGTTAGCTTTTTCTGTTTGTTATATCATTGAAATAACACACATGTTGTATATAACTGCAAATTTATAATAAACATACCTGGTATGTTAATTTTTTATGTATGCATCTAAAGAGATACTAAATTAACAAAAATTAATATAGGGAGACTTGACAATTTGTTTTCGAAATTAAACCCGTTGTCGAAAGTTACGGGTTAATATTATAGTAAACTAAACTCTATTTTCTTTAAAGCTGTCCAACTGTTGTATTAAAAGAAAATTAATTTACAATATTTTGAATTATTCATAAAAGATGTAACTAACAAGCTAATAAAAGTTTAGCGCAGACAATTATAGCCTGAACAGTTTAAAAGTTTAATTTTAAAATTAGGTAGAGAAACAACCGCTTAAAAATTTCAAAAATTCAATTTTATTTGTTTGGGAAATTAAACTCTTCTTTATGTTCTCTTATAGAACCTTAATTAATTCTGCTATACGCAAAGGAGGCAACATTAAAAATAACCTTTTTAAAATTATAGTGTACGAAGGGGATTTATTATTTTATTATAAAGGCAATGAGAAATATATAATTTTTAAGAATCACAAAACTTCTTTCAAATAGTTTTTCTAGTTTGTTAAACTTAACTTTACCCCGAGTATTTACCTTGTTTTGCATAATAACAATATTAATCTAAAACAAATTGATTTAACTTTTGCTAACTTTTTTCCACAATTATATAAAGTAATCGCAGATAATTTGAAATTTTTTTTTAATTATAGGCATCTACCTTTATAAAGTTATAAAAGTAAGCACACAATGGCCAGCGAAATTAAAGCTCTAATATATTCTTGTAATATTTGTAATAAAAAACTATTAGGACCATGTTTTGAATAACTGCAATTAAAAACGTTTTCTTTTGTATTAACTTCTTTATAAAAGTATATTCTATGATAAAGCGTTGCTTATTTTATTTTACTTGCATTGTTGCTTACTAAAACTAAGAATGTTGCATAACAACCTTGTAATGCTCTAATAGTATATAGTACCACCAAGTGGGTAATATTTTAAAAAGCGATTTTAGGTCAAACCTTTTCAATTTATTGTTTAACTTAATTTACGTTATAGAAACCAGTTATTTATAAGTAAAACTTTTAGTAATCATAATCTTTCATTAAGTTACGATAAATTAAGCTTTTCAGCCGTATTATGAAATTTACAACGCTATGGGTCTGCATAACTCCCTCTTTTCTACTTTGAATTAATATTTCCTCATTTGATTTCCTGCATATTAACAAGAGCAGCAGAGAAGTTTTATTTCAATAATAATATACTTATTTCTTTTAAAATTGATATCAGTACGTTCTTTATAATATATAAAAAAATTAATATGTCCTAAGCCCTTTTACTTTTAGGAGACTTACTTTTTAAATTGAGTTTAGTAAAAAGATAAATGCAGTGCCGCCTTCCTCTTTTTTCTTATTACTTATAGTTCTTTTTCTTAATAATATTGTTATTTCAATTTTTTTTTTACACTAGCTAAACCATAGCCTTTTCATAGTTAAATTCATAAAAGAATACTTAGATCTACAATATCTCGCCAGTTTACCTTCAATTTTTGCATACAATATAGTGCAAAACTTTAAAAGCTGTTAATAAACTTCATCTTGAATCTTTTTGGTTCGGGAATTTGCTTTATTATAAATTTTTAGTAGAATTATAATAAATTTACAAAATGTACACTTCCATAACGTTTTGCAAAACTTTTTACTCTGCACTCTCTTTCAACCGGCTGTAATGCGATTCGGTGGTTGAAACTTTTCGAATTCTGGCATTGATTAAAGGAATTTGTAATAACTTAAAATATTTATTTAAGACTCGAGTTTTTATTTTATTTTGTGTGCGTAAATTTACTTCATACTTCCTGTTTATTTTTTGTTCTTCAAACTTTTATTAAAAGACAGTGTAATATTCACATTTTCATATGCAGTAATTTACTTCATACTTCTTTGTGTTTTGTTCTTTTTTACTTTTACTAACATTGTAAAATTTACAATTTCAAATTTGCACATCTTTCATTAAAAAAAAAATTAGAAAACTTCGTAAAACTCGCTACTTGTTGTGTAATTAATTTGTTATTTAATATATAATTAAAAACACATACGACTTGTCACATATATTTATAATATATTAGGCTTTATACAATAATAAAATTATTTTTATTTTTATACATTTCTGGTTATATTTATGTTTATAATATATTGAAAACTGAATTATTATTTTATTAATAGAAAAGCTACCTAAAAGAAATGCCGAACAATCTTCATACACGCGAGAATTTTAACACTTTAATATATTTTGAACAACATAATCGCTTAACACGCTCTTTAAGTTTTCCTGATATCTTTTGTTATAATTTTAAGAAAACATCAGAAAAGTTTGTTAAACAGCCGCGCAGCCGAAGTTTCGATGATATTTCAAAAATAAATACTTTCTCGTTAAAAGAAACATTTATTTACGCTTTAAGGAAAAATACTAACTTTGTAAGTAATTTAAAATATTGATCGTTACCAAAATAAGATATTTATAACCCTATTTATTAAAAAAATTAACTTTTGACCAAATTAAAGCTAACTTAATTGTATTACGCACATCTCTAAGGACAAGTTACAGGAATCTCAAGAGCATCAATCGGATTTAAATACAACTGAACGGGTACAGAAACAATAATTCTAAATGAACTTTTTATATATTTTTATTAGGAAGTTTCTGTAAAATGCTCAACTTTGGCTAAAGAAGAAGGAGCTTTACTTTGTAGTAACAAATGCGGTTTTTACGGGAATTTAGAGTGGGGAGGCTTGTGTTCTTATTGCATGGAGGTTTATAAATTTGAGCATCGACTAAACTCTATATGCATGCTTTTTTTAATAAAGTAAAGATAAATCATGCAGAAATATAAAACTGGTGGCGCCTTTACAGAAAAAGAGATTTTATCTAGAATTATTCGGGAAAAGTTTGAATCTGGTAATGCTTAATTTTTTCTTTCTGAAATTAAAATATAGCAACATAAAACAAAAATTTGGTAATTGTGGAGAATATAATTTTGTATATAATGTAATTAAAAAATTTTCTCAAGAAGTTATTACCTTTTTTTTTAATAAAAAACTATTAATCACTTCTTGTTTAATATGAAAGCCGTAGTTCTGTAGTATTTATATAGTCAGGTCTAAAGAATTCTTTGACTATTAAAATTTTCAAATACTTTTTTTTATAAACACTCAAAGTATACCAAAAAAAAGGTAGTTTTCTATGAAGTAAAGAAATTTACAAAAGCTGCTTTATTATTATTATTTTTTATCCGAATTATTTTTTTTCAAAAAATTTATCAAATATTTTTATGTTTAAAAGATGCAGGAGTTGAAAGCTCTTATAGCGAAGCGAGTAAAACACCGTATGCTTGCATATATATCATTTACTCCTTTTTAATTTTCTTATGTAAAAAAATATTTGTTTGCTACCGCGACATTTAAATTTTCACGCGCTTCTTTAATAAGCCAGTTTCTCTTTTTATCATATAAAAAGTAATTCACTTAAAATTTTTATATTATATATTTTTATTAATAAACATTGACTTTCAGTTAAAATATTTTTTTATAGTGACCATTATATTGAATATATATATATACTCTAAAACCCTTGCAAAGTACCTAACAGTTTAGTAAATTTAAATTTATAGTAGAATTCATTGAGACGGAACTTTTTTTTAAAATATTGTATTTGGCTTACATTAGCCGAGTTTAATAACTTTACTTTAGCGCTTATGTTGGGGTGTAGAAGTAGAAAAGAAGCAAAAAATGGTTTATTCACTTTTACGAAAACCATGAAAAAGGCTTATTCAAGTTTTTTATTAAACTTTATGGCAGTACTTATTACAAAACGTGGGGTCTTTTCAGAATATACAAATTCTGTACTTTAAAAAAGCTTTAAAAAAATTAATATTTACTATGAAACACAATTTTTTTAATCTGAATAATAAAATTTCAACTTAAACTTTTTTTGGTTTTACATATTTATTAATAATTTTTTAATGAGGTTTATTATAAGTTTTTTTAATATTTTTATCTTTTTTTTTGTATAACTATAACTTATTCAAAACTTTTTAGTATTTCCTGGAGCTACCAAAGTTCACTTTTTGGAAGACTCAAGTATAAATTGCAGCAAAGTTTGTTACATTTTAAGCTATTTGCTACAACTTAATAGGCATATTTTTTTACTATAGGCTCTTTTCCGCTCGATAAAAGTATTGAATTACCTATACTTCTTAAAAATTTGGGTCTCAACGATCTCCACATGCAGCTTTTAAAGTATTTTTTTAAAATTTTATTAATAATATATGCTTTTTGTTTTATCTTCAAAACTTTTTATAAAATTGGATAAAAGTTTTTTTGATTATAAAATTTCTGGAATTTATCAATTATAATTTTTAACGTAAATCTTGTAAGGACTTAAATATTTAATAATATCTTTTTCTTTGAATGGATTTTTATTTATCTCTAGTTTATTTATTATTACTTAATAAAAGAAGTCTTCATATTTTTTTTAATTTCAAGGTATATTGAAAATTTTAAAAACCAAAAAGAACTTACAAGTGAAGAAAAGAGTATCACAGTCCGCACTTTTATAAAAGTTGATACTTTCTTAAAATCTTTTTTTATTTTGTTATTAACTTATTATTTTTACTATTTATTATTAAAATTATTATTAATAACTAAATTTATGTTATTTTTATGTAAACATTATTTATTATAAGTAATGATATTTATATTACAATTTATATAAAAAAATATAATTACATTTATGATTAATAGCAAAAATTTTAAAAAAAGTTATTCTTCCAACTTTTTTTTAAGGTGTAAATAATAATAAAAATAGGATTATTCTCAACAATTTTTGGCTTCTGTTAATTGGAGGAATTTTACTCGAGAGGACGTTCATTGGGCACTTAAGAGTTTGGAACATTATTTATTCCAAGAAATTTACGAATAGTAACTTTAAAATTTTTTGTGTTATTTTTACATGAAGTACTACAAAAAAGCTTTTGTAGGTTGTAAAAGATTTTAAATTATAGATACACTTTTGCTAATTAAGTATTTAAATATTCATAATAAAAGTATACAATGATAATAATAAGTATATAATATATTTAATAATTTTAAAAGGAGAGATAGTGGTAAATATTTGTGTGGACTATTAAAAAAAATATTAATATTACGAACAAAATATTTTTTTTAAATATAAAAAATGAATAAAATAGGCGAAAAAATATGAAAGTCAACAAACTGGTGATAGAAATCAATAACAATTAATATAATAATAATTATTATTAGTTATTAAAGTAATGAAATTTTTAATTTTTTTTAATGCTCACTAAAAAGGAAATAATTTAAAATAATTTTTGAATATATAAAGGAATTAATTGGTTGCTTATTATATATGATACGTCGTGAATTTTTTTCTATTATCTTTTTGATACAGCAAAATGACTTCCCCTATATTTTGAGCTTCATGTTTTATTATATCTAAACCTTCAAACACTTTTTTATATAAATCTATAAACTTCTCAACAATTTTATTAAGGTTCATTAAAGTATGCATTTACATATTTTTTTTAGTTCTTTTCATTTTTAAAAAAAAGCTGCTCAATTTTTTCTTATAAAATTTAAAAATGCTAAACAATTGTTTAAAGTTCAATAAAATTTTAATTTATATAATTTTTTTAGCGCTTTTCAGCATTCAGAAGAAGAAAAACTTAAAAATATTTCTTTTCAGACGCAAATAAAAAAACTGCAGTGGATCTCATTAGAACTTCTTACTGGTTATTGATTGGTTTTTATTTAAAAAATTTCATTGGTTCTAAATTTCAGTAAAAAAATCAACATTTTAAAATTGTAAATTTTTATCCAGTAATTATTATATTTACGTTTCTCTATGATCTTTTTTTAAAGTGTCCAATCAAATTTTTTATTCGGTTTATTAAAATTCTTAGTACTTTCTGGCGCATATGATTAGTAGCTTTCATTTTAATGTAATTTTTATTAGACCTTGTTTGTTGGGTTGAATAAATTATCATTTAATAAAATAAAAAATTATAACAATACCTAAAAAAGCAATTATGTGCTATTTTTTAACTATACATGGCAATGACTCTAACGAAGCATTAATAACGTGGTCTAATCATTTTTTTTAGAGCAAAAATTTTATGGCTTTTACTATATGAAAAAACTCTAAAAATTTACCATGCGTATGCTTGTCATTGTAAAACATGAAGGCCTGATAGAATAATTTATTTATTATTTTAATGATTCAAAAAATTAACTATTACGGTACGTATACAACACGTGCACGAACTTAATGAATTTTCTGTTACCAGTTTTACTGAGCAAAAATTGAGTTATTTTTTTATTCCACACTATATGCCGCGACATTATTAATATAAAATTTTAAGTATAGAAAAAAATTATTATAACTTTTTGTAATCAGAAACATAACATATATTAATTTTTTTTCACAATATTTATGAGCATTTCATTATTTTTCAAACCACTTCAAATATAAACCTAATTTTTTTTAACAAAATTTATAATAAATAATTTTTTTTAGCCAAGCAAAAAAAAAATTATAGAAAAAATATTAACAATTTTTTTATTAAAAAAAAGAAAAAATTTTTTATATTTACTTTTTTTAAGCGAAAACATACAATATAATTTTTTTTCACAATATTTTTAAATTTTTTTAAAAAACAATGAAATTAAAATAATCATTTTCATTATTTTTCAAACTAAGGAAAAAAATATAAACTAATATTTTTTCAACAATACTTATAATAAATTTTTTTTTTACCGAGCAAAAAGAAAGAGTTAAATACAGAAAAAAGTATTATATAAATTTTTTTGATCAGAAACATAAAATATAAATGTTTCTTTCCCAATTTTATAACTTCTTAAAAAATAATGAAATTAAAATAATCATTTTATTATAAACAACTGAAAAAAATATAAACTAATATTTTTTTAACAAAACTTATAATTAATAACTTTTTTTAAAGCTCAGGAAAAAAAAAGGAAAAGCATTGAAAAAATATTATATAAATTTTTAAGCAGAAACATGAAGTATATAACTTTATTTTGTATACTGATTTATTTAAAAGAAAAATAGAAATGAAATAGTCATTTTTATTATTCGTTAAAAGATTGACAAAAATATAAACTATACTATTTTAAAAAATTTATAAATAAGTTTTTTTTTTCTAGCAAAAATTAATATATTTCATTAGCTTTTGGTTAAAAAAAGTATAGAAAAAATATTATGAAACTTTTTTAATCAGAAGTAATATATAATTTTTTTTCCCAATATCTTTATGATTTTAATTAAAAATTTAATAACATTAGAATAATTTTTATTATTTCTCAAAAAAATGAAAAAAAAAATAAAGTTAAATTTTTTTTTTTACAATATTTTTATTTTGTTTAAAAAAAAATAAAAAAATAATTATTTTTATTATATTTTAAACAAAAGATAAAGTATTATAATTAATTTTTTTTATAAGAAATTTATACTAAAGAAAAGTTTTTTATTAAAGCTGACTGAAGGAAAAGATATTTTATGAGACTTCCGTATTATTTTGAACAAAGTATAAAGAAAAACATCATTATTCTTATTAATCAGAAACATGAAATATATATATTGTCCCAATATTTATAGATTTATTTAAAGGGATTATAAGGGGAAGCAATTATTTTCATTATTTTTAAAACAAAAAAAAATATTATAAATTAAACTTAAATATTGTATAATTTTTTTTATTCATTAAAAAAAATTGTCTAAATTCTTTAGCAAAATTCTTTTAAAGGTGAAGTAAATAAAAAAATAATTTTAAAAGTTTCACAAATTTTTTTTATTTACAATATTTATTAAGAACAATTTTATTATTTTTTTAAACAATTAGAAAATATTATAATACAAATGTTTTATACATAAAAGTTTTGTATAAATTTTTATTCACTAAATTTTTAAATGTGCTTCATGAATTTTTTGTTTAAAAAAAATAAAAAGAAATTTTCCCCCCTTTAATTTTAATTTTATTTTACAGTAAAATAAAATAAAACAATGAATGGAAAAAAAAAATAATTTCTAACGGGATTTACAATATTTTTTATAGATTTTCATTAATTTTAACTAAACTTGTATCTTAACAAAATTTTTATGAATTATTATTTGCTTATTGTTTTCTAACAATTTTTATAATATTTTTATTATATTGATATTAAGTTATATTTAGTTTTTTTAATAAAATTAACTTTATTATATATTTATTTATTATTATTATTTTTGGATATAATATCATTTATAGTTGTTTTTTAAAAAAATTTATAATATTTTCTATACATTTTAAAAAAATATTGTTAACTAAAGATTTTTTTTTAACAATTCTTTATATTTAAAATATATGAAAATCGTAATTACAATTTTTTTTTTCAGCAAAAATTATATTATATTATTTTAAACAGAATAAGCAAACAATAATTACCAAAAAAAAATTTAAAAAATAATTTATGGTCTTTTCTAAATATTTTCCTTTTTAGTAGTTATTAAAACAGTTAAAAAAAAATTGGTCAAAACTTTTTTTAAGCAAATTTTTAATTTACACAAATTAATATTAAACTTTCTATATTAATATATTATCTTATAAAAAGTTTATATATACTTTTTGTTGAATACTTACAAGCTGTACATAACTAAATTTGTAGGCAAAATAGTATACAAAAATTTTTTAATGAATGTAAAATAGTAAAAAAGAAAATAAAATCTTTTTTTTACTATACAAAAATCTTTTTGTTAAGCATTAAAAAAAATGGTAACCAAAAAGTTTTGTTACAGACTTCAAAAATTTTCATACAAAGCAAAACTCCCGCTGGTTTGATATAGCACGTGACCAGCTTCTCCATGTGGTTGATCCGCGCGTTTGTCCCGCGCCACGTGATAAGCTCAAGAGAATTGTGGAATGCTGTCGAGCGCTGATTCATACTTTTGATAATACAGTTGTATTGTTCTTTTTTTTTTATAAAACTAATTTATTTTGAAAGCTTTTGCTTTTTTTTTGGAAGTTTACTTTTTTTATATAAAGTTTTTTTTTTTCTATTTTTTTATTAATACTTTTATGTAACAAGGTTTCTATTTATATATTTTTTATCTTAACATATATATACTTTTTTCAAATTATATTTAAATATAAAATACTATATAAACAGATTTTATTAACTATTTATCTTCTTCAAGCTAACTAAATAGTTTATAATATGTAATGATATCTAAAATATTTAATTTTTTTATTTACAAATATTTTTTGAAAAAAAAAAAAAAAAGAAAGAAAGGTAATTAGGATTTGGGTATTTTCTATCCTTTCAGAACAGCTAAAAAAGCTTCACAAAAAAATTGAAGGAAAGCACGTGGCGTGACAATACATTTTTCGCATGTATGAAAACCTCGTGCTGCTTGCGGTTTATTCTGAAGAAATTTAATGTTTTACATTATTTTCTTTTTCGTAAGCAATATTTTATTTTTTTAGTTCCATTAAATTTTTTATTTATTCCCTAAAAATTATACTTTTAAAAATCTTTTTCTTCATTTTTATATAATTTTATTAAAAAAATGCGTTATTTTTTTCTAATATAAAAAAATTAACCTTTTTTTATTTTTTTGTCTACTTTTTACTTTTTTATTTTTTTTTAAAATTTTTTTATTACTTTTATATATTTTTAATTTTTTATATCAAAAGGGAGCTGATGAGTTTTTACCGGTTTTGATTTATACGATTTTGCTATCAAACGTTCCTTCTCTGCGCGCAACTTTACAGTAACAAAATACTTTTATATTTATTTCTTCTGTATTATTTATTTTATAATAAAGTTTTTTTAAGTTTACTTTATTATTGAAAAGTTTATTTATTCTTTTTGTTTTTCTTATTTTTATTTATGATTATGAAAAATTTCTTTATTCCTGTTATTTTTTAATTTTTAATATTGTAATTTTTTTCTTATTCTAAAGTAATATCATTATACATAGTTTTTTTACTTTTTCTTTATTTTTTTTAAGTATTATTTTATCTTTATTGTATTAAGTTTTTTAATTTTTTATTTTTTTATATATATTTTTAGTATAAATTGTTTTTTTTTTTCCAACTTATATTAAATTAAAGTATTTATAATTTCTTTTTTAATATATATTTTTATCAAAACACTTGTTTTTATTTTTTTATTATCTGCTATTTCTTAAATATTTTAATTTATCATAAAAAGGTAATTATACTAATAAAATATTATTATAAAAATTTAATAAATTTTAAATTTTTAAAAGTTTTTTATTTATTTTTTTAAATTTTATTAATCTTACAAAAATTTTAAAATAATTTTTTTAAGAAAAGTTGAATTTTTTTTAATAATATTATTTTAAAACTTTTAAACCCTTAATATACCTTTTTGTTTTTCAGTTTTAAATTATTAATAAGTTTATTTTTATTTTCTTTATTTATTATATATAAATTTTTTTATTCCTACAATATTTTTAATAATTATATTTATACAAAACATTTTATTTAATAATTTTTTACATATTATATTAAAAAGTTTTTATTTATTATTATTTTAAATTTTTATATTTTTTCAAAAAAAAATTTAGAATTATATTTTTTATTCAAATTTATTCTTGAAATATTATTTATAAGATTAATAAAATTTTAACGTTTTATTTCTTAGTTTTAAATAATAAATATAAAAAATTATTATAATTTTTTTAATTTTTTTTATTTTTACAATAATTGTTTTTATTAAAAAAGTTCATATTTTAATTTATATTGAAATATTATTCATAAAACTTTTATTATTTTAATGTTTGATTTTCTTAAGGAGTTTTTTTTTTTATAAAAATTTTTTTGAAGTTATTTTTTATAAAAAAGTTATTCTTCATTTTTTTTAGATTACATATTTTTTAAGTGATATATATATATTACTTCCCTTTAAATTTCAGAACTAGAAAATTTTTTTCTATATATTCTTTTAAATATTTTAATTTTTTATAATTAAGCGTTATACCAATTAGTTTATTATTATTACTAGAAAGTTTTATAATTTTTTATTCTACAATATTTTTTATTTTATATATTTAATATTTTTATGATTATAAATTATTATTTTTGCAATTTTTTTATTTTTTTAACTAATTTTTATTATTCATTACTAAAATATTTATAAATTTTTGGTATAATATTATTTTAAAAAAGTTTATAACTATTTTTAATATTTTCGGTATAAAACTTTATTTTTTATATTTATCATTTTATATATTTTTTCTTTAAATATTATTATTAATTTATTATAAAAAACATATTATTATCATAATTTATTATTTTTGGTATTTTTATTTTTATTATTAAACTTATTTTTAATTACAAAATTGAAAACTTAATTTAGTTTATATTATTACTATTATAATATAAAAATTTCGTTTTAAATTTATTTTTTTATATATTATAAAAACCTTCTTTATATATATATTTTCTTTCATTATTTTATTCATATTATTTCTTTTCTTATATTTTTTTATTTATAAAATTTCTTTTTTTATATTTTCTTTTATTTATAAAAGTTGCTTTTTTGTATTTTTATCAATAAATTTTTTTTATTTAAATATTTTATATTTTATTTATATTTAATTTTTAAAATATTTTAAAAATGAAACTTTTTTATATATAATATTTTTATATATATTTTTTTTCATTTATAATTGGTTTCTTATTATTCTACACAATTTTAATTAATTTCACTATTAAAAAACTATTATACACCAAAAAATATTTTTAAGAACATTTTCTTATTTGCAGCAATTATTTATATTTAAAGTAAACTTTTTTAGTTTTTTGTATTTATTTTCTATTTTTATAAAATTTAATATTAATTTTAATAATATTACTTATTTTTTGTTTTTTATGAATTCCCATTAATAAACTTTTTTTAAAAAAAAAAAATTGAAAACTTTTAGTTAACTTATAACTAATTATTTAGATTTTTTTTTCTATTTTCTTTTCTTATTTTTACTCCAATTGATTTCTATTTAAATTCTATAAAGTGTAATAATCAAGTCAATATTTTATTAATATATTCTTTACTTTTAATTATTTTTTATAATTTTATTCGTTGTTTATATATTATTTAAATAACCTTTTTAATAATAATTATTTTACTATTATTTTTAGTCTTATTATTATTAAATTTAATTTTTACATATTTTTAATAATTTTTTAACTTTATTATAAATTTTTTTTTATAAATATACCAACTTTTGCTTTAAAATATCTTTTTTTTTAATATCCGGAAAAATACTTTTTTTTACTTTTTGTTATTTTATATATTTTATTTAATAATTATAAATATAAAAGTTAAATAACTTCTAATATTTTATTTACTTTGAAGTATTATCCGTTGTTACTTTTCAATCATAATTTTAGATATATCTAATAACTATTTAACTCTAAAGAAATATTATATACACATTATTTTTAGAATTAGTATTAACTTTTGCTTAATACTTTTTATTACCTTTGAAAAAATATTTTTTAGAAAAAATTAAATATTTAAACTTTTTTAACTGAAAAAAAATTTTTATTATACCAAATTTAATATTTTTTCTGATTTATATTGACTTTCGCTTCATAAATTTTTTGTTACGCCAAAAAAAATATATATTTATTTATAATTAAATTTTACTCTTTATATTTTTTTATATTAATTTTTTTTACTTTAATTACTATTATTTATAGTTATTAAATTAATTTTAAATACTTTTAATAATTTTTTAACTTGAAAAAAATTTTTTCTATATTTTTATTATTTTTAGATAAACTAAATAACTTTTAATAATAATTTATTATTTGATTATTATTTATAATTAAATTAATATCTAATAATTTTTTTACTTTTTCATTATTTTTGTATTATTTATTTAATTTTAATTATAAATTTATTTACTATTTTTATATTTATACAATATTTAATAGTTTTCATAATTATTATTGACTTTTGCTTTATAATTTTTTTTTAAATTCAAATTTATTTTTTATAAATCAAATATTTACTTAAAAATATAATTTTTTACTTTTAATAATTTATTATTATTATTTTTTATTAAATTATAATTATAAATATAAATAATTTTTTTACTTTATAAAAGTTTTATTTTCTATACTTTTTTTTATAATTATATTCACTTTTGCTATATAATATTTAAATATATACAGTAATAAAAATTTAAAAGCTAATATTTCATTTTGGATTTTATATTTTTATTAAATTTTTATTTTTCTTGAATTTTATTATAATATTTTTGATAAATTTTATAACAAAAAAGATTTATATTATTTCGCTTAATAATTTTTTTTAAAATATTCTTTATTTTTTCAAATTTTTTTAAAATTTTTGAAAAAGTTTATATAAGAAAGTTTTATATTAATTCGGTTTTTGTATTTTTAGTATTCTTTATTTTATATATATATATTTTTTAATATTTTCGATAAAATTTAATATTAAAAAGTTTAATATTTTTTTGAACATTATTTTTTAATAAATTTATTTTATATTAATATTATTATAAAAATTTATATAAAAAAAAGTTATATATGATTATTATAATAATTAATTGTAAAATCCCTTTTTTCAGGTTTATTTCTTGTTATTGCGATCCTTCACTTCTGCATTCTGGCGAAGGCGGCTATTATTTTACAAATATTGTATATTATTTTGACTTTTTTTAAATATTTGTTTAACTAAATATAATAGTTATTATTATTATTATTATTATTATTATTATTATTATTATTATTATTATTATTATTATTATTATTATTATTATTAAACTAAAAAGTGCTCCGCTGTTACTTATATTGAGCGTTTCACGTCTTCATGTTTATCTCTACCAGAAATGGAGTTTCAACGGTTCTCATTTTTTGCCTTCTTTTTTTTAAAGTTCTTGTTTTTTTATTATTTTTTTTAGTATATTATAGTAATTAATAATTTTTCTATGTAACAAACTTTAATTTAAAAAAAATTTTTTAGGGAATTTTTTTTAAGTTATTATTTCTATACATTATTTTTTAATATTTGCTAACAGCTTTTTTTTTATATAGTTCTTTATTATTATTATTATTATTATTATTATTATTACATTTAAACTTTAATTAACTTTAACTAATTGAATTTTTATAAAAACAAAGTCGTGTCCAGTTGGAAATGTGCGCTTCGCAAGCTCTTCAATTAGTTGACTTTGAGCGTAGAATAGCGGCCATTGCTGATCAAGAAGCAGACGAACTTTACAAGCGGCTTGTGGATTTGAAAAAAAAGCAAATTTTGGTGTGATACTATATATGTATATAGATCAACAAATATTTTAATGCATGCTCCATAAATAACTAAAAAGTAATAAATATTATAATTTTATTCTAAAAATACTTGAAAGATAATTTTCTATATCAGTTTTTTTAAAACTTGAACAACTATTATTAATATTAAAAAAATACTGAAAGTTTTATGCGCTACCATAAATTTTAATAGAAAAATTACCTCAAATGTGGGGTAGTTATATAAATTTTTTTAGGTATTTACACTAAATTGCTTTTAATAATTTTTTTAAAAAATGTTGAGTAGGCATTAATAACGAAAAAATTTTACTACCAATATTTAATACTCATTTTTTTATATTTGTAATAACTTTTTTTAAAACAAAATATAAATTATGCGTAACAACAATAATTTCAATTAATAATTTCTCTATCTAGTATTATTTAGATAATATTATAAATGTTGGGTAAATAATATATATATATATTATTATATTAATATTTTTAATTATTTGTTCTCGTTAAATAACAATTCTTAAGCTTAAAAAATAAAATATTTCTATGTTTTTATTTAGCCTTTTCAATGTTATTTATGAATAATACGATATATTTAATAGTTATTTTTATTTATAATTACATGAATAATATATCTTATTAATACAGTAAGAATTTTTTTTATAATATAAATATTAAATAATGATTTAAATTATTTCTAAATAAATATTATTTATGTAAAGTATGAAAATAATTATAAAAATATATAAAAGTTTATACTGTTTTATATATCTTTTTATATGTTTTATTAAGTGTCTATAATAAATAATGAAATTATGAATACCGAAAATAAGGTTACTTTTTTTTTAATTTTAGTACTTCATTATTTTTCTGGTTCTTTTATTCGCTACTTATCAATTTGTTGCAAATAATTTTATGTAAAAGACTATTTTAATGCCCGTCTATACCAGCGCTAAATTTAATAGTACCCGTTAAAATAGTGTCTATTGGTTTTATTGGACAAACCAGTTTTTTTACAACTTTTTTCTGTATTAACAAATCCTTTATTTTTTTTTTCAAGTTATATTTTTTTCTTAAAAGTTAGTGAGCAGTTTAAATAATAAAGTTTCTTAGAGGCTGTTGGTTTTTCACTATTTTTTTTGAGCAACAAAAAAAAACTACAAAAGTAAAAGTTTTTTAAGTGAATTTCGAAGTAAATTTTTTCATTAATAATTATTATTGATAAGTGATGCTCATTATATATTATTCTTTTTTTATATATTGTAATTCATTAATTTTTATTTTATTTTTTAGTGTCTATTTATTTATATATATTATTAATCTTCATTATTTTTAATTTTTTATTATATCTTTTTGTTAATTATTATATATAATATTTATTATTTCTTTTTATTTTTAATAAATGTTTCAATTTTCGTTATATTCTATTCCCTTTTTTTATTATCTATTATTATTAGCTGACCAATCATATTCGTTATATGGAAAAAGATATGCATGAAACGTTTGAAAAGTATTATCCGTACCGATACAGCGATTCACTTATTGAAAAAGAAAATTTTTATTCTTTTGAAGAGCTATTAACTTTGATTCCTAAAAAAGTTGATGGTTTTCATTGAACACTGTTTGCTACCAATAAGAACGGTGCAAAATGTTTTTTTTAAGCAAACGCAAACAACTTTTATGAGAAAAATATAAATTATAATAAAAAAGTATATATATAAAAATATTCCAATTCAATAAAAAAAATATGAAAAAATAGTTTCGCTTTTCTAAAAATTTATAATAGTAAAAAACTAATAATTTTTAAATGCTTAAGAATATATAAAAACATCAGCAAAAATATATATATAATTTTTTTTTAAAGAAAGTCTCCTACTTACTTTTTACTGTGTAGATGCGATCACAAAGTCCAATGTTAGGAGAAGGATAAATATGTCCGCCAATAGAATAAGTTAAATTACACTCGAATCTCTCAGACGAACTTGTGATTATTACCACCAATGAGTATTGGGGATAAACTACAAAGAATCTGGCCCATGAACATTCACGAGGATTCATGAAAGTTACTATATATAGGAGTGGTAGATTAGGAAACTTAGCATAGGATAATACATACTTCTGTGATATGCACTCCAAAGAGAGCTTTAATTTTTATGAAAGAGTGCCAGACAGTCGTGAAATCTGCTAGCCTTCTATCACTGTTACTCTTATTCAGCGCTATAGAACGAGATCCACATGATAGGAGAGAGCGAACTAACAAGGAAAATAAAAAAAAACTTTTCGCTTTAATTAAAGTTTAATAGAAATAGAAACACTCATCAATAATATTAATAAATTCGAATTTGGCAAGTTATCTACTTAACCTACCAGAATTAACATAAGCTACCAAAGAAAATTCGTGAAAAATAATGCAAGAAAAAAAGCGAATTTGAAAGTCTATTACGTTTATTAAATTCATTTAATATTAATAAAATATTCACTATATATAAAATTATAGTTTTAAAAGTTTTATTTTTTTAAATATCTTAAAAAACTTTTTTCTTGGCGCCAATAGAATTGCTTAAATCTCACCAATAACCAATAAATTTTAATCTGGCAACATATATATATAAATATCCTACCTGATATGATAATGAGCTACCATGAAAACACGTGAAAAGTAAATGGTCATAAGAATGGAAGAGGTTTATTACATTTTACTTATTTGTGGCGGTATTAAAGTTGTTTTCTTTATGAAAATTTCAAAGAAAACTTAAATAATAATAAAAGTTATAAGTTTCATTACATTAACTTTTAAACTTTTCATAGAAGTTACACCAATAGAATTAATTAAAACTTAAAAGAAACCAATAATTATTAACTTAGCAATATATATAACTTAACAGAATCGATAAAATAAATTACCAAAGAAAATACGTTAAAAGTAATATAATATTTGGTGAAACAGTTTTTATTATTAAATATATTTGTTATATTAAACTTTTTATAGAAAACTATATTATAGCAGTTTCATAAGTTTTACTATTATCTTTTTTTTATTAAAATTGTTTTTATAGATGAAACCTTTATAGAAAACTGTAATAATATTTGTGGCATACTTTTTACTTTTAATTTTTTGGATTATATTAACTTATTTTTTGAAATAAAACTTTTATAAAAATTATAGTAAAATAATAATAATAATAGATTTAAACACGTTATTACTAATAACTTTTTTGCATTAATAAATATAAAACTTTTACAGGAACCTATAATAATAACAAAGAAAAGTAAAGTTTTATACACTTAGAAAATTAATTTCTTATATTACAATGCTGTTTTAAATATTAAACTTTTATAGAAAACTATATTAATATGAATAATATGAGTGCAGTTTAATACGTTTCTACTTTTATTTTTTGGGTATTGTTAATATCCTAAAGAAAAATATAATAATATTAAATAATAAGTGGAGTTCTATATGTTTTTCAAATTTAAATTTTAAAGAAAACCATAATAATAGTAAATATAACAGTAATAATGATAACAAAAGTTTTATTATTTTAAGTTTAGTATTTTATTTTTTAAAGTTAATAACTTCATCATATCCACGTGTGTCAATGCTTGTTTCTGTCCTTCAGTCACTCTTCCTTCAACCTTTAATAAAACGTTAAATTTTCTTATAAACTTTTTTATATTAATTTATTATCAAAAAAGTATAAGTTTAAGTTTTTTTTTATATTAATATTATTTAAAAAAAAGAAATCGTTCAAATTTTTTGTAATAAAACTTTTTTTATATTTATTTTTTTTTAAAAAAAATCGTTAAAGTTTTTTATAAAACTTTCTCGTATAGATTTTTGATTAAAAGAAATTGTATAATTATTTATAAAACTTTGTATTTAGTTCTTTTTTTTTTAAATGCTTATAATAATAAAACTTTAAATTATTATTATTATAAAAAATTGTTAAAGCTTCATAATAACAATGTATATATGAAATTATAATAAACTTTTTTTTTTAAAAAAATTATAAATATTAACAAGAATAATAGTTATAAACCAGTTTAATAATAGCTGGAAGGTAATATTTTGTTACAGCGTCGTTGCGGTTTAAGCAGGGAAGAGCATTCTATATTATTAAGTGAAAAACTTTTCTTAGTGTTTTATTATATTTTTTATTATAAATATTAATTAAAAAAATAACAAAACATGTATAACTTTTTAAAAAAGAAAAATATGTTGCGCATAAAAAAAACGAACACTATTAAATTAGTTATGGAGTATATTTTTTATATTCATTAAAGTTATCTAAAAAATAAAGATAACTTTTTTAAAAATATTAAAAATATTTTTTATATTTTTTTTTTGTATTTTTATTATATGAAGTATTTGAAAAAAGATATGCGCATTAAAAGTAATGACAAACGTACTGCTAGTAGCTTTTAAAAAAAAAAAAATAATACAAATGTATAATAAAAAATATATTTTTTATAAATTTAATAAAAAGTAAGCTAAAAACAATAACTTTTTTAAAATGTAAAAAATATTTAATTTTTTTATGAAAACATTATTTTATATGACAACCAAAAGAATATTATATTTCCAATAAAAAGCATCTAATAGACGTTCGGAAGAAACCTATATAAAAATATAATTATTTAAAAAAAAAGTTTCTGTCATAATGTAATGATATATATAAGTTATATAAAAGTATATCAAATAAAAAAGTTTCAGTAAATATATAATAATAATAATGAAAGTAATAAAAATTTTATGTAAAAAAATATATATAATAAATATATAATAATAATGATAGTAATTATAGATTATAGGTAAAAAAAAGTTTTAATTAATATATAATAATTTAAAAAGGTAATCAAGATATGCAAAAAAATTAAGAAAACATATATTCATATATGCAAAACAATTATTTAAAATAAAAATTCTTTCAATCCATATATTAAAAAGTTATTTAAATATTATTAAAAAAATTTAGAATATACATGAAAATAAAGTGAAATATAAAATTATAATAAAAGATCTATAAATTGTATTATTTAATAATAAAAAATATGTAATAATTTTACTATTAAAAAAAAGTTTCAATAAATATAATATTTTAAAAATTAAAATAAAAAAATTTTTATTAAAAAAAAATAAATAAAAATGTTATATAAAAAAAAGTTTATATATAAAATAATAAAAGATTTACAAAAATTATTCTAAAATAAATTTCAATAGATATGATTAAAAAAAGTGTTTTAAAAAATTTATATGTAGAAAAGTTTCAGTAAGACAATTTATTTAAAAATAAATTTATATAAGAATAATAATAAAAGAACTATAAAATTATATTAGATGTAAAAAAGTTCAAACAATTATATAATAATAATGATAAAAGTAATATAAAATTATAAAAAATAAAAAATAAATTGAATGTATATAAAAAGCTAATGTAAAATTGTATTGTTTTAAGAAAATTTCAATAATATAATAAAATAATACTATATACAAGAAAAAGTTTATCAAATATATAATAATAATAACGGAAGTAAAAATATTTTACTTTTATAAATAATTTTAAATATATAATAAAAGTATTAAAAAAATTATATTCCGTAAAAGTTTATATATATATTCATAGTAAAATTATGTAAAAGTATACTATTAAAAAAGAGTTATATAATATAATATTAATAAAAGTAATACAAAGTAAATTATACAAAAAATATAATTATACTTAAATAATATAAATATAATAAAAAAGTAATATAAACTTTATATTATTTTAAATTTTTTAATAATAATAATAACGATATTTAAAGTATAAAAATATTTTCTAAAAATAATAATAATAAAAATTTTAAAAATTCACTAATAATTTTAAAGTAAAAATATTTTTGTTTAATTTTTTTTAAGAAAAAATATTAATATTTTAAATTACATATTAAATAGACTTTTCTAACTTATATTTAAGCTCTAAATAATAATAACAATAATAATAATTAAAAATATACAACAGCGAAACTGAAATATTAATATTAACAAGTAAATGTGTAATAATCCACGAATTTCATATATACTAAGAAAAAAGATAAAAACAATAACAGCAATAATAATAGTATCAATATAATTTACACAAATATTCAAGTGATTAGAGAAGAAATAGAAAGAAAAACTTTCTGGCAAATTTAAAAGTTAAAATAATTGGTTTAAAAAGTTTCATTATAAAATTTTTTCACGTTGAAAGAAAAATTACATGGTTTAAGCATTTAATCTTTTTTAATTAAAACCTGTTCAGTCGTGATAGTTGTATTGTAAATTTAGTGAAAGTTTTATATATAAAAAAACAGGCAATAACGTCAAGGCCAATGGACCCGATTACCAACCCAATAAAGCAATAAACATGAAGTAACGCGAAATATAAGAAAAAGTCATAAAAACCTGATGAATTAGTGAAAGTAAAACAGATTGCGAGAGCGGAAGTGGATTTCTTTTAAACAATTCGTCCAATGAAATTGCTGTGCTGAGCCATTCAAGAAATTTAATGTTTTTTGCAGACAATGCCTGCTCCAGCCCCCCAACAAAAAATGACTTAAATAAAATTTTATGTTTATTATAAGAACCAGAGTAAAAGCATTTTCATAGTCACCGGATCGAAGACAAGCGCTAATTTTCCCCCATAAATTGCCTCTCCGCAATGTTGGGGGCGCAACGTCCTGTGCTTCCTTTTGAAATGCTCCAAACCGAGAGACCAAGTGCGTTTCCCTTTTCTCTTCGGCTAATGAGGTGGGCGACCCCAAAATAGTAGATTCACTATTTCTTTTAAGCTTTTGCTGCCGCGTTAAAAAATCGCTTTGGCGAGTGCATAATTGCAATTGCATTTGGTAAAGACTTTCCAACAATTGGCTAAGCTCATTATTTTTCTTGAACTGAACTTCTTTAAATGCTTCAAAATTCTGATTTGTTGAAAATAAAGAAATCATTAAAAAAGTGCAAGCCAAAAAATGCACGCAATCAGCTTAAAGAAAAATTATAATATATATAAAACGAAAATAATAACCGCATTCAACTTTTTTAGCGCATCAAGAACTTTTTCGTTGCTTTGATTGGCGCATTTCATAAACTGAGCGGAGTAGATTTGAATGTGTGATTGGAGCTTGTTTAAAGACGCTTCCAATAAATGACTCTCTTCAACTTCTGTAGTGAAACGCTTCTGGTCTATAATTATAATCAGTCAGTTTAAAAACTAATGGCATATAAATACTACTAATTCCTAGCAACTATTGCTGTGTATATTATAGCGTTGTAACTTTTTCAGGTATACTTTCTTAGAAATAGGTGAATATTTTCCCAAAATTCATTAAAAATGTACAACTTTCTTTTCACAAGCTACACTATATTAGAAGTACTTTTAAAAAAAGGTTTTAATAAGCAAATTTCTATAACACTTTTCTTAATAATTTTTATGAAGCATAATTATTGTAAACTTTTTTTTACAATAAATTTAATAAGTAAACACGCTTTATATTTTTCTTATTTAAAATTCCCACGTGCTTTTCGTGTTATTACAGACTTCTCTTAAGCCATAATTTTTATCATTATAAAAGGCGCCTAAAGCTAATATAAACTTTATTTAATTAAAATATTATTACTATTATTTATTTTTAGTTTTAAAATTTTAAATTTCATTATTTTATGGTTAAATTGATATTATAAAATCATTGGTTGTTCTATAAATCCACATGAAACAGAAAAATTAATAAGCGACGCCGCCATCAATCGCAAGAGCAAAATTCTTTTTTAAGTTATATAATACGCCAATGAAATGTATTAAAAAAAAATTTGTTTCATATAACTTCTCACAAAAAATTTTAAAGCTGCAATGTAAAAGTGTTAAATTATTTTTATTCAAATTTTTCAATTAACTATTTTCTAATTTATTGTACAGCCAACAAATGACCGTTCTTTGCATAATATTTCTTGAACTCGTTACAGTTTATATACAGTTCCACTATTTTCTTAATACCGTTTCACTTAATATATACATTTTATTAAAATCTGATATAATAAAAATACTTATCGTGCTTTTCAATGAAACCCCGAAAACTACTAGCAATAGAAAATATGATTGATCAAAAAATACATTCAAGAAGTCCTTTTTGAAAAGTACTTTGCAATTGCTGCATCATAACTTGGCATGAAGCGTTAAAAGCAGGCACAATATACTGTAAATAATGATAATAATAATAATAATAATAACAATAATAATTATAATTATAATAATAATGATAAAATAATGAAAATGATGATATATGACATTTTGACTGGTTGAATAAAAGGCGTTAATAATTGGATCATGAAAACTTTTGGCCACTAAAGTCGATATTTTTTCAAGCGTCTATAGAAGTATATTAAAATAATGGAATAATATTAACAATGATAATTATAATACTTTTGGGTTTGCTAATGCTGTTGCTAAAGCTGATTCGATTATTTTTTCAACTTTTATTTCATGATCGTCTATAGCAGAGTCCTGAATATCACTGAAAATTGTGCCTCCGCTCTGCCACGTGGCGAAGATTTGCTTAAAAGCTTCCTCCAGCGTACTAGTCTACCAAAAAAATTTATATCCCATCAATAAAAATACTGAAATAAATAACCATCGCTTCAATTTTAGTAGTTAATTGCTGCTCAAAATATTTATAAAAAACTTCCTGCGTTTTTTCTAAACCAATTATTATTCACGTGTTACTTACTTTCATATATATAAACTAAAACAACTTTGATTCATTAAAATTTTCTCAAAACATTTTTCAAACTGAAACTCAAAATTGGCAGGAAAAATACTTTTTCCCGTCCGAATCTGCAATATTATTAAAGAAAATTTTTTTATATATAAAAAAATACATAAAAAAACTTTTTCATTGGTTTCAGTGTTTCCTTTGGCCTCAACAAAGTCGTCATCATCTAAAATTTTATTATTTATTATTAATTTATTTATTATTATTATTGTTATTATTGTTATTATTGTTATTATTATTATAAATATATGGTACTAAAGTTTTGGAGTTTTTCAGTAGGCAACTTTAAGTTCCCGTCGTTCTCAACTTTTGTCGGAGCGTCCATAAAAGTTTCTGAAGTCTTTTCTTTAGCGGTTCGCGTTAAAATACTCACAACGGATGTTTGAGGTTTCGAATGAGTGACTCGTTTCGTTCGAAACTTCTTTTTATTGGTCGGTTCATTATATATGGAGTCACTGCTCTTCGGTTTTATTGGTTGTAATTGTTCATAAGAATAAGCAGTAGTGGGCGAATATGTGTTATTTAACGGCTATAAAATTAATGAATAGAGAATTATAATAATTATTTGTTGCGCTTGTACAATACTTTATAATAAAAAGACGCTGAAGAGATCAAATTGGACTCCGAAGCGGTGCGGGCAAATGAAGTCATTGCTACAGTTTTAAGATAACCACTAAATATATTTCTAATAATAAAAACAAAACGTACATGTGCGCCCGAGTTCAGAAAGGCCTTCTACTGGTTCGTTCGGCATTTCTTCGGTGAATTTTTGAGCGTTCAATCCCAGTGGGCCGGAAAGTTTCAAAGGAATTGTTCCCAACGGTGCTTCGTACTCTTCGATAACTTCATCGTCGAATTCCTCTTAGTAAAATTTTATATTTATACAAATATTAATAATCATAAATTTTAATGAAAAAGTATTGTTTATTATTTATAATAAATCGCTGTTATTTTTTATTTATTAATAAAATATATCTTTTTGTATTCATTACTATTAATAGCAACTACCAATTATCTTTTCGCTCGTATTATTTATACTCTCAAAATCTTTAAAAAAAGTTTCCGGATTTTCAAAGGCGTCACTATAAATACTTTTTTGAGCATTTTCTTTAAAGCACTTGCGTTCTCGAACAGCTGAGGTATCCTAATAATAATAATAATGATAATAATAACAATAATGACTAGAGAAAACCGTCTCGCTATGAATAACGGGAACTTTCAATAAAAGTGTCTGCACGGATTTCGCTTGTATACAAGCCAATAGGATTTCATCTTCTTCAGAGTCCAGCTTTTTTTTAAAATATTCGCTGTTTTTCTTTGAAGCAGGATTTTTTATGTTTTGAATATCAAAACAACAAATCGGTTGGGAAAGCGCTTTTGTTGGGAATTATTTATTTAATATTTAAAAATAAATAAAATATATAATTTTTTATAATTGTTCATTTCTATTATAAAAGTTTAAAAAAATAAACCCAAAGTAATTGCATGAGAAAAAGCTTTGCGATTCGGATGAACCTTTTTTTGATTGCTTAATAATTGGTCAATTACAAATATGTATAAAAAATTCTGATATATATAAACTAATAAGAAGAATGAATGAAAATGGTTATAGAAATAGCGAACTTCTTCTTTATTACTGGCAAGAAGATACTTCCGCGAAGGATCCAATGAAATTACAAATAAACTTCTTATAGGCTGGGGCAACTTTCCTAAAAAATGTTTTAAAACATATTACACAAAAAGAAGCCAATAAAAGAAAGGTTACCAGCATAACGGAAAAACTTTTAACCAAATAAAATTTTTTAATATTTATAATTAAATAAAAAAGCAAAAGAAAAAAAATATACTTTAAAAACACCTGAATAGCAGATAAAAAAGTTTACGTAAGTAGTAATAATAATGGATGACAATTTTTTTTAGCAAACTTTTATTAATAGAAATTATTAAAAAGATTATATACACAAGAATAATAAAAATAATATATAAATAAGTAAAAAAATATAAAAAGAAAAAAGAATAAGAAAAATAACTTATATAATCATAAAAATAAACTTCGTAAGTCTACTGAAAAGTATAAGTCGGGATTCGCGCCGGAAATATCATAAAGATGGATAAGCGAGTTGTTATTCGAGGCTATAAGAAGCTGCTGGTCACCAACATTCTCTATGAAAGTAACGGGAAAATCTAGGCGAAGAAGGCTTGAACATCTTAATAATAATAATGTTAACTATATTTAATAAGAAAAAATACATATATGCAACAAGCGCAGCACAAATAATAACTTTTTTATAACAAAATTATAAGCAAAAGTGTATTGAAAAACCTAAACCAACCACTTAATTAATAAATGACTATGAAATGTTGAATAAGTAACTATTAAAATGCACGACAATTAATTTAGAAACGACTAATTAAATGTGAAATTAGTAACTCTCAAAATGCAGAACAATTAATATATAAATACCCGATCAATTTGTTAACAAACGACTATCAAATTGCAAAGCAATTAATCCATAAATGACCAATAAGATTTTATATAAATAACTCAACATTCAGAAGAATGAATTCATTATATACAATCAAATTGTAAACATAGAACTAATAATATCCAAAACAATTAATCCGTAAATGACCAATCAGATTGGTTATGAATAATCATCAACATACAGAAGAAAAATTCATAAATGTCCAATCAAATTATAAATAAATGACTTCAAAATGCATAATTAATTCATAAATGACCAATCAGATTTTATATAAATGACTATCAAAATGCATGATAAAGTCGTCATACAGCGATGTGGTGTAGTCCCATACACCAACAAAGCCGTCCTCGCAGCCAAAAGTAACTTGAAGGTGTTCGGATAATATAAAAGTATTAATATTCTGAAAATTATGAAAATTTTGAAAATTAAACATAAACAATATTTTATATATAAAATATACTATTGCTCGTTATGTATACTACTGAATATATAATAATAAAGTAATATAAATGTAAACTCAACATTGATAAAACCTAATAAAATACATATAAACTATACTGTTGTATGTTTACATTATTTAATAATAAACAAATAATAAGATATAAGAAAAATAGGTATAAACTATAACTATAAATATAAATGGTAATAAATAACATTATATATATAGAAAATGCACTGTTGTATGTTTATAAGTAAAAAGGCCCTCATCTAAAGCTTCTCTTCTAAGAATAACAGCTCCATTTTTATTGGATAATAGAATGTTCAGGTCCAGTAAGTCCAGTGAATTCTGGCAGACCACCCCAACAATTCCAGAGTTGCATGGGATAACGCGGTTACGCCTTTCAGAAAAAATAAGTTGAGCGTTGAATTCACGAGTGACAAGGAAAAGAAGATCATATCTACAATAATAATAAATGGAAAAGTAAAAAATATATTAAATGAATTAATAAAATACTATATATATAAATATAATAACAATAAAAATAAGAAATAATTAAGAAGTATAATAGGCTACTTGATAGAAAAGTTAGAATCGTCAGTTTCCTCAGAAAACCGAAATATCTTGAAGGTTCCTGAAAGATCTACAACGGCAAGCTGATCGTTCTGCTCACCAATGAATGCCATATCCTTAAAAAATAATGAATGATAAAACTTTGAAGAAAAATTTTTCTTTATCATTATCAAGTGAACAAGAAGTCATATTTGAAAATTTTTTAAAGCAATAAAAACGTTTGTAGATTTCTAAAAGTCCTACCCAAAATTATATAAACTTATTTATATTTACTCTCATAATTTTTTTATTTGCTAAAGTTTATAAGTATACTATTAAAATTATTTTTATAAATATATTATTGTAATACTTTTTTTATTATTATATAAATAATAAAAAACTTTTACTTACTAAAAAAAATTTATTTTTTTATAACATAAATAAAAAATAATTTACTTCATAATATATCTTCAATTTTATTTTTTATAATTCAATAACAAAGTTTATATAATATTTACTTATCAAAGTTTTTAAAAAGTTTACTAATAAAGTTTACACATTTAAGTTATTTTTTACTCATAAAAAAAAATTTTTTAATAATTTAATTATTAAATTTTCTTTAACTTTTATTCTGGTTTTTTTAAATTTTTATTTTATAATTTCTTTCTATCCTATTTTATATTTTATTTTTTTTTAAAAATTATTCGTCTAGATTAAGCTTTTGTTTAAAAAATAAAAACGAAATTTCCGTAAAAAAAAATAAACCGCAATCGGATAAGTAAAAAATTTCAAAAGTTGAGTGGCTTTAGAAGTTAAGCTCGTCACGCGAATCCAAAAATCACTTTTAACCTGAAGAATTTTATAATAGAATATATCAAAAAAATTAAATAGAATATTTATTTTAAAGTAAAAATAATTAAAAAATTCCAAATAAAGAAGAATATTAAAAAAATATTTATATAAAATTCATTTAAGTTTAATAAAATTATATTGAATAACAAAAACTTAAAAAAAAAATTGAATTAAAAGATTTAAAAGTACTAACTTTTAAAAAAAATTTAAGTTAATTAAAATATTTAGATAAAAGTATTATATAGTAACTTTAGTGAATTTATATACTACAAATAATATAAGGAAACTTTTATAAAACGAAAATCCAAAAATAAATATAAAAATAATTAAAAATCGAATATTATTAATAGTTAACATGCAAATATAAAAGGTTATTAAATAAATTTTTTTAATAATATTTTTAAAAATATAAAAAATATTTAATTTATACAAAAAAATATGAAATTAAATATTAAGAAGTAATAATCACTTTTATATAAAACTTTTAAAATTAAATTTAAAAACAAAAAAAATTTAAAAAAAAATATTAACTTTAATAAACTTAAAGTTTTTCTAGTAATTTTAGTAAATTAAAACACTGCAAAAAAAATGGAGACTTTTATATATTGAAAATAATAAAAATAAAATAACTTAATTTAAGAAAACGAACATTATTAAAAGTTAACATGTAAAATTAAAAAAATTATTAATTATATTTTAAAATGGATTATATTTTTATACTATCAAAAATTATTAATTTTATAATATTAATACTAAATAACACTAAAATTAAAAAAATTTTACTATTTTTATATTAAACTAATAAAATTAAAATTAAATAAACAAATATAAAATAAATTTTTTATTTCGTGATTTCAAAATAATTAACTTTGAAAAGGTTACTTAAAAAAAGTTTTTGTAAAAAATTCGGTGAAATTAAAAAATACAAATAAAAAAAAGGAAACTATATTGAAAAGTAATTTTAAAAATTATAAAAAAAGATCTGAAAGTTAATAAAAATTATAACTTGGAAAATTATTATTAAATGTAATAAAAAATATTTAATTTATAATAATAAACTCAATTTTATATATACTAAACAAAAAAAGAAAATTATAAAATAATAATAATTACTTTTATAAAAATAATTCAAGTTTACTAAATTACACAAAAAAAACTTATTTTAAACAAAATATAATTTACTTCTTTAAAAATTTTAATTTCTTAAAAAATATATATAAAAAGTGTTAAAAAATAATTTAAGTAAAAAAGTAAATTTTTATAATAAATTTTTAAATTGAAATAATTATCAAGAATATGTATGGGAAACGTGCAAATTCTAAAAGAAAAATAATATAAAAAAATTTTATAATTAGTAAGGAAGTTAACGTAACTATGATGGAGTTATAAAAATAATTGATAATTTCAGTACTAATGATAATAATTTATAAATTTTAAGTTATTTTCATTAATTTTATAAAGATGACTTATTTCTGTAGTAAACTAATTTAAAATCTATAAAATAAATTTATAATTAATATAAAAGTTCTAAATTTATTAGCAAAAAAAGGCATATGATATAAATTTAAACAGTGTAAAAAAAAGATATTCAAAAATAAACTTTTATAAAAATAAATTCAACATAATGTAATTATAAAAAAATTTAAATAAATTTTAACAAGCAAATTTTTTTAAAATGTTTATAAATAAAAAAGATGAAAAATTCATATAAATATTGTAAAACTTAAATTTCAGAATTAAAAAAAATGGATTAATGAACTCAAGTATGATAAATTTTTAACAATATATATATATATAGTTTCGTTAAAATATTTTATTAGATTTTTAAAAATAATTTGAAAATTTAAATTGAAGAAAATTATTAAAAAATTATTTAAAGATATATACAATTATATTAAATCTATAAACTTTTTTACTACAAGAAAATTTACTACAAAAAATTATATTTTTAATTTTATTAGTTTAATTATATTATTAGCAAAATTTAATAAAGCTTTTATAATAAAATTTACTTACTTTATAATATAAGAAAATATAACTTTCTATAAAAATTAATAAAATTTGATATTTATAGTACTTAAATAGTAATTAAAAAAAGATTAAATTAAATTTAGAAATTTAGGTATAATAAATATAATGTATATTTCAAGTAAACTTTACTTAAATATAAAAAAAATCTTTTCTTCCTAAAATATTTTAAATAACTTTTAAATTTTCTAAATTATTTATTTTATAATAATTTTAACAATTACTATAATAAAATTGAATCATTTACTGAATTTCATGTAATAAAAAAATTTTTTAACATATAAATTCCTTAAAGAAAAGGTCAACAAATAATATAATTCCACTAAAACTAGAAAAAAAAACTTTCCTTTTCTGAATTAACTCTAATTACATAATTTTTTTTTTTTACTATTGTAAAATAATAATCTTTCTTAAGTTAGTTTATAATTTTTTAACAAAACTAATAATTAATAGTAAACTTTATCACAATTATATATACAAACTCTTTAGAAAAACAGAAATTAACAAAAAAAATTAAGTTTAACTTTTTTGTAAAAAATATTGTAATTTACTATTGTAAGTAGTTAAAATAAGTTATAGTTAAGAAATTTACTTGACCTACAATAGAAAAATAATTTAAAAAAAATTTTTTTGAAAATTAAAATTAAACTTTACTAAAATTTAAAAAAAATTACTTAAAAAAAACTTTAATAATTCTTAAATTTCTAATTATTTTAGTTTAAAAAATTTTATTGTTTGTATAAAAACAATTACAATAAGTTACGATATATTTTAATATTGATAGTAAACTTATATAAATTTAATATATAGTCTCTTCTTTAAAGAAAATAGTAATTAACTAAATAAATTTTATAAAATTTTCATTATTTACTATTAAATACCGAAAAGTTTACTTGAATCAGAAAAAAAATAGTTAAAAAAATTTTGAACAAATAATTTATAATTAACGACCAGAATTGAGTAAGCAAGGAAATAATTATTGACAGCGATGTGCTTCCCAACGGGAAAATTTAAAACTTCGAAGATCTTCGGAACCCCCATTGAATACGTGACGACTTCAATATTACTACTGGTATTAAACGTGCTCCCATATGTTAAAGAAAAGGGGAGAGAAACATCTTTTTCTGCATAAAAAAAATAATTATAATAGTAAAATATTTAAAAATAAAAAAAAATAAAAAAAAATTGACTAGAAAATAAAAATTGAATGTTTGATGCTGTAAAGGGCGTTATCGAATATCCTTTTCTAATTATATCGAATGCATCGAAACTAACGGCTTTAATAGTCTTAATAATGCTGGTGTTAGTTTCGGAGCTCTAATTAAAATAATTAAAGTATAACATTATTTATAAAAACTAGTTAAAAGACATTTTCAGAATCCACTTTCTGTTTGTTAATTAAGCTTGAAAGATCAAAGCATCCAGCTTTTAATAAAAATTAATAGTTAGAAGAACACTAAAATAAATTTTATATAATTCAAAAGTATTAATAATAATAATAACAGATACTTTCAGGGTTCAGAAAGGAATAATTATTTTCCTGACTATTCATTTCCTTCTATTTATTATTACATAAAAAGATAGTTATTTATGAAAAATATTTAATTATTTAAAATTAATAAAGAAATAAATTCTAATATATCGTTAAATAAGATAATAACAATAAATAGTAATAATGAATAAATTAAAAGTAAAAGTAAATGACTTCCCACAATATGAACGAACTACTGGCAAATTTAAGGGGTTAGCGTGCGATCCTGCCACTTTCTACTATTAGCGGGGTTCATATTATAAAATAAGCTGAGACACGCTTTAGTAGTTCAAAGAACTTTATCACATTTAATCTAAAGCTAAGAAACACAATTTAGTTTAGCACAAACCATATGTAAGGTAAAAAAAACCTATTTCACTTTTTTTATCTTTTATTTTTTAGGGTTAAAAATAATTATAGAACTTATTAAGGAGCATTGACTAGACTTGTTAACCGGCGAGATAGAATATCCTGAAAAGATCCTCACTATTTTTATAGCTTATTTACTTATAATATCTTTGAATATACAGTTAAGGTAGATTTTAATTAAAGTTTACCGACATTGACTTATAAACTTTAAAACCTCAAGGGCGATTCAGGGCTTTATTATTGCGAAGAAGCTCTCCCTCCAATATAAAATTTGGAGTTTTCTTTGCATAGCTGAGACTAACGGCGGCTATATTTTTACATGAGCGAGATAGTCAGGAGATGTTTTGCTTAATTATGAAAAGTAATAGATTTCTTTCTTTTTTTAAATTTTGTCTTGCAAAAATACTAACTATTTTGCATTTTTTTTCCTTTACTGTTTGTTAAAGAGTTTTATAGTGTTTTTCTTTTATAAATAAAATGGCTATTATGAATATTACAGTATAAATAATATCTGTTAAACTTTAAAAAAGCCATGAATTTTGAAGACCACAGCATTAAGTGTAGTGGATCTTTATGAGTGTTACCTTTGGGATAATACTAAAGGCATCGGAAGATACAATAATAAAAATGAATATTTTAAAAGAAATTTATAAATGTATTTTTATTATATTCCGTTGCTAAAAACAATAGCGAAAACCAGAAAAGTTATAACTAAAAGTGACTATTACTGAACTAGGCAAGGAGCCCGCCTTTGAAAATGACAAACTGAACTACACCGTTATTTTTTTTTAATTAAATGACTTCTGCAAAAACTCTGCACTCTCAAGCTTAAACTGGCTCATCCTTGAATTTATTATTTTTAAAGTTTCTTTTAAATCTTATATATACCGTGCACGGATTTTCTCTATGCATAGAGGTGCTTTTATAGCACTTTTAGGGCTCGATGAAAGTCTGTGATCAGCTATTTCCGTTATGATCTAATTAGAAAAAATTTTTCCACTGTGATTTTGAAATTAATTCATCCTCCAGAACTTTTAGCTAAAGAAAAAGTTACCTGAAAGTGTTAAAGTTGTTAAAGGTCTGTTTTTGGGGAAAGAAAAAGAATTTTCGCTATGTCCTAAACTTCCTGCAAATAATTACATTTATCCTTAAATTGCTTCTGCTTTCTAGTTGTAATATTTCTTCTAAAAAAAATAATTTTAGATTAGATTCAAGTTCTCTTTGTATTTAACTTAGTTCTAGGCTATCACTCTAAGTTGAGGTTTAATAATGAAGTATGTTCGTTCCATATGCTCTGTGAATTAGTATGTTTTTCTATGGTTTCTAGTTTTATGATTAATTTCAGTTCTTCTCTCTTGAAAAGTCGAGACTAGTAATATACGTCTTTGGTTTTATAATGCGTAATTGCACGTGTTCTATTTTCTCACATTTATTTTAATTCCCTGGTAAAAATATTCTTCCTACACTGAACAGTAAATCGATTGCTACTCCTTTTTTCCTTTGTTATTATATACGTGTAATTAGAAAGTCTACCAAATTAAATATAATCAAATACCAGAAAAACTTAAGGTGTTTAAAAAATTGCATTTTCCCCCAGCCGTCCCTTTTAATAATTTAGTTTGAAAAGCTGATTTTAATATAGAGGTCCTTTTACTTTATTAGGCCATATAAATTTTTTTTAAACTATCAAAAGTGAAGTTGTCTCTCTTTGATTAATAATAAATTTATGTCCTCGCGTAAAAGATATTTCTTGTTAAATTGGGAAAATTTTTAGGCCCTATAAAGATCTTTGTAGGTCTTAGTAAATGTCATGAGGATATTATAATTCTGTTAAACTCTTTACAATAATGCAATCTTTTTTCAAAACTTCCATAAATAATAATCCATATTTAGTTAAAAAGGTAAATGAACAGTAGACAGATATAATAATATCTTGTCTTGTTTTAAACTCGGGCGTTAATTTGGTAAAGTTGGCTAATGCTTGTACACAAAAATATTATCTTATCTTAAAATTAAGTATAAAAAATGCTCAAATTATCCTGCGGTCTTCTGTTTCTCTCTGCGAAATGTTTTTCGTGAGCATATTGTTTTACTTTCTTTATATAAGTGTTACTTGCGCCGGTAACCTATCTCTAAAATTAGCCCGTCTGAATGTCACATTAGTGGAAAGTACAGAAATTACAGAAAATCACTCAAAAGTTTTGCCAGTGGTCGAGTCCCAAAGAGAGCGAGTTTGTTATTTTTACAAGGTAACGTCTAAAACCCACTGTGGCCCGGTCGGTACTTTCTTTTACGAGGTGAATATCACCGACTACAAGTTAGTTGCGGAGGTAAACTTTACTAATCACACTGATCCTTACGTCACACTCACAGAGCATCCTTTCAAAGCACTAGTTGAGGAGGTTCAAATTAATAACTTAAAACATTTAGAGGTTATTTATGATAATGCAATAAAAAACTATGTCCTAAAAGTTGTAATACATCGAGATTTCGATGTAGATGGTAATATCCTTAACCCCAAAAATGATCGTCAACGCATTGAGTTTGCAGCTACAAATAATAGCTCCCCGTCAATACTTGGCTACCCAAATGACACAATGATTTACATGTGGTGGTTTAAACTCTCTAAAAACATTCGACCCAGCAACAACTTTTTCCACATTTTCCAATTAAAAACGGGAAACAACAAATTTACAATGCCAGTGTTCACATTTTCTTTAAGCAAAAAAGGTCAAAAGGAACACTTGACTTGTTACTACCAGAATACAACGTATACTATTGGCCCTCTTACTTTATTTTTGGGAGTGTGGGTTCAAGCGTTTGTAAAAATACATCTTTCTAAAGATGGCTATATAAGCTATGATTTACGAAACTTACAAGGAGAAAAATTTGTAAGTTTATCGAAACAGATAATGAATGTACATCCTTATAACAGCCTTTGGGAAGCAAATTTCTCTTTTATAAGGTATATAAATTAGTAGATATAATATTTTCTAATTTCCAACAAATACAGGCCGAAGTGGGGTCTCTACAGAAGTTTATTATCAAAAAATTTACTTAATTTAAAAGACTCTATATTTTTCTCAAACCTGAGAATTTACAAAAGAAGGAAGGCAACACAACAAAAATAACTTTAGGTTCTTATTAGAGCTCCTTAAAAAAATGTAGGCTTTGAGCTATAAGAGAACGTTATTAACCCATTTTTAGTTAATTAAAAATGTACTTCCTGGTATAATAATACTATTTTTTTTTATTTATTAGGTTTATTATTATTGTTTTAGTTATAGATATTATTTATATTTATTACCATAATGATCTTAGTTACTATTTCTCATTGCTATTATTTTTTATACTTATTGTTATTGTAATTTTCAGTTGTAGTTACTCTTTATTATTATTAATTATTATATTATTATTAAAAGTGTTTATAATAAGCTAATAAAATAAATAACTACACCGGATATTGACTATTCTTATGTAAGAGTGAGGCTAAATGCTATCTTAAGTATTTTAACCGATGATAGCTTACAAGGTTGGACAAGAATCATCAAGCTTGCACAGACGGCTGGTGTGCTTTTTTATAATGTTAGCATCATTAAAATCATACCACGATAAGGTAGGTAATGCGCTCTCTCTTCAAGTTATAATATGCTTTATATGTAAATTTAGAAAAGTATATAATGTAGTAAAAAAGTGAAAGCAGTAGCGGCTTACTGACTAGTGCAACTCTGCTATGTTACTAGTGTGGGGTTAATAAGATGATTATCTCATAGTACACGCTTAAAATTTTTAATATTTGCGAAGACACAATATTGAATGCGATTGTTAAAATCCATTTAATGGCAAATTTTTTTTTTCTCGGAATTAAGGGAAAGATAATTATACATTCTCTGAAGAATAAAAACTGTTGGGTACTTGCGTCTTATCTTAACCCATAGAAAGGGAAATAATGATCGACCAGCGAAAACTTCATGTTATCCTTAATGTACCAGTGATAAAATAATTAAGACAATAAGGTAAAAAACTATTTATTTGTAAAAAAAGGTTGTTAAAAGGGCAGCATTTATGCAAACATTAAGATTTACCTCTTACACATACTTCTACCTGAATTTTTTAAGACCTTTAGTTGGGGTGATAACCAGTCGCTTTTGGGGGATAATTAATAGATAGTATAAAATGAATTTACTGCTTTTAAAAAACTAAATTAATTGTTTAAAGGATTCCTCGGTATCCGCTCTTATGGACCCAAAATGCGAGCAAATTGTTATGCAATTTTGGATTAAAAAAGGAGACCTTTTATGGCAAGGGAAAGTTGTAGCAATAGCAATTATAAACATTATTTAGACGATATTATTGGTAATAGTTGTAGAAACAGTTGGCTTTTAAACAAGTATTATTGTTTAGAATTTAAATACCTTGCCGTAAGGATTTAAATTTGATTAACTGAGGAGAGTTATTTAATCTTTTTAGGTAAATCAAGTCGGCGAGCCTGGATAGCAGCGGTGCTGGCCAGTGTCATCTAATATGC